GGATGAGTGTAAAAAAAACCTACTGCGTTTTTTACCGGAGAGAGATTCATCCAGTGTATATCGTTGTCTACCCTTCGAATAAGGGATTTGAGATTCAAAGTTAAGGTCCTTCTCTATTTTCATTGATCTGGCGATACTCCACGTCTGCTATTCTATTAATGGTCACTAAAACAAAGCAGCGCGTGGAAACATTCAGAAACAGTTCCTCTGCATCACCTCATTACTCAATCAAACAGGTGTAACTCCAAAAATCTTATCCGGCTTCGCGACAAATAAATGTCACTTCAACATCTACAACAGGCGTAGTGAACACGAATCATGTAACACTGTAAAGAAATCCTTTTTGTTTCATGTTATGAAGCTCAATAAATTGTCTCTATGAAACAAGGGTGTCGATGTTTCGTCATCGTACCTAAAAGTTCTCGGCAATTTTTTTTTCCATTGACAAGCACTTAAACTTTTGTCCTTTTTTAATCTCAGTAGCCAGTCTCCGACGCAAACATTCTTTCCTCTGTCGATTAATACATTTTCGCGAGAGGCACAAATTGCAAACGTAACAAAAGGAAGTCACAAGACAATAATAACAAAATCAGTCCAGCATGATGCGCATTCATGTCACATTCAATTACAGCCAACAATTGATCAAAGAACGCGTCTTCTCTATGTTATCTGAAGAAGTATTGTTGTCATTCTTGGAAATAAATGGGTTTTACTTTAAACTGCTTGCTTTCTGTCTCTATTGTTGTTTTACCATCCGGTGTTCTTTATAGCATTCTTTTCCATTTCCTTTTAGCTAAGCGGGACGCACACTTCTTCCGTTTGGCAAAAAAGAAAACTGACCAAGCTTACTACCCGGATGTAACCTAAACACGCCAGATATAAACTGAAAAGTTGTGTAATAATGGTGACACGTGGCGCGTGGCGTGATAATAAAACCAAAAACAAACGATTTATTTGAATTGTAACAAACCTATTTATTATTGCACTTTTTAAATAAAATTGTTCTAAGAAAATAAAGAACAGAGGTTATTCTGTCTCCTTGTTACAGAGTTTTAATCATCTGGTTGAAAGAGGAGTACTCGTTTATACACGAATGCTTCTTTCAGAGCATTTTTATTTTTTTCGGCGACTTTAAGAAGGTCTGTGCTTTTTTGTAAGACTTAGCTGCAGAACTTTTAATTGAGACTTTTCATTAATTTTGGTGGCTTCGACATTGCTGCATTATCGATAGCAATACGTGTCTTAAAGGGCTGCTTCCTTTAAACATTACACGGACTGTAAACCTCCTGTTCGGGTGCAAGTACAAATTTTCGCGCGCTCTTGGCGGTTTTTACGCTAACGCAGGGAGGCGGGCACGCAAGAATCATGAGAAAATTCAGACTGTCTTGATAGAAGCGTCATTCTATTCCTTTGATTTATTATTCAATGAATAATTTTTCTCCTCAAAATGACATCAACTGTTGTGATTAAAAGCTTTGGTCACAACAGTAACTCATTTATGTTTGTTTGTGTAGATAAATTCCGCGTAAACGAACACTTGACTATGCGTGGTGCAGACTGCATCACAGAGAAGTTCAAGCACCACTGCTATTACATACAAAATTCTCAACAAAATATGGGCGCGTCTGGAATGTCGCAGCTGGAACTACATACTTTTATCAAAAGACAACTATCGACGAATGCTAATTTACGCCCGTAGCACCGCAGTTAATGCTTTATATATTGTTTGATGTAAGTGATTCCAAAATTTTAGATGCCTTAGACAAAAGCGATTGAAATTACAATCAAAGAAAGAGATCTATAAAATTATTTTACTCCATAACCTCCTGATAATCCCAGTGTTTGAACTAGCAATACTTCTGCTCAGGTTTGGAAACACAGATAAAATTCCTTTTTTAACAAAGATTTACTTTGAAGAAAAAAAAATACGTCTTCAAGATTCTTAAGCCCTGGTCAAACGGTGCATGATAGTCGATGAGTTGAAGCGCGCGCTTCCGTTTGACCACCAATTATCATTCATTTTGAGCTTGTTCAAATTCTTCATGATAGTCGATGATAGTTTTTCTCGTTTGACCACGCGTATGATAGTTCATGATAGTTTTTGGTCAGCTGTTTTCCCCGAAAATCGGCGGGCTCGTTTAAAATGGCCCCGTTTAATCTCAGGTCCGATAGCGGTCAATATTTCCTGAAATGTTTCAAAGTTCATTCGCAACATTTCCTTGTAAGCGGCAGTGTCCTCCACTCGCAATTCTTCCACCAATTTCAACATCGGGGNTATAAAAAATGATAAAGTTCCTTTTTTCGAATTCTTCGAAAATCCACATCGGACCGCTGTAGGGGATGAAACGGTAGTGACGAATCTTAAACACGAAGGCGCGCTATATAAGGAAGTCTTCCCTGGGAAGACCTAGGCTCATTTGTCACTCACCGTTGACGTGTGCGGGTCAAATTTAAATGCTGGTAGACGAACAAAAGGAGCTAATGAGATATCTATTGTTTACTTCCACCAGCATGGTGGCATGAGGTAACGTGCGAACCACCTACTTCGATCTCAAATTTACCGCCACAAATAAAGACAGTTTCCATTGGAGAAAGGAAATACAAATCTCAAAAATTCTTGTATTGTGATGAAGACATAAAACAATTTTGAGGAATGCGCCCGCTGTTCACTGCTTTGGAGTAGCTGTAGCTCAAGCTGACTTGACTCTAAGAGTTCTACATCACACGACGGTTGATTGACAAATGGTCCAGTGGGACCTAAGGCTCCTTTTATAGCGCGCCTTCGTGTTTAGACTGCAATGAATACTAAGAAATTAGCGATGCATCCTGATGGCCACATCAGGCAGTTGATGAATATCGCGAGTAGTGTCCCCCCCGGCTCTGAATTGCGTCCGTTGCCTGATACGGGACCGTTGTGGAGTCTCCCCTTCGTGGGCAGAACTTTTCACTGGTATTCTCCATACTCAAGAAGCGTAGATGGCTGAATCATTGTACGTTTTAAGATCATTTGTTTGTCTGCCTATATTTAGCAGTCAATATTCATGGTAGTAATTAAAGAGGCGTTAGCTGACTGTATAGGGCCTCTGATTAACAAACAGGATTTTAATTCTCAGAACATAAATTTCTAATTTGACAAGTTCATAAATCACTGGTAACAATCTACTTTGTTTAAATTTTTAGTTTGTGGAAAACCAAAGTTTTGCGATGGCGTCACCGTAGTGACCAATTTTAATGCAATGGTTATAATTACCATACTATATTCAGGCTTTTGTTTGGATTTAATGTCCCTTGGGTTTGAGAATATGCCAGCACATAGATAATGTAGCTTAAATTTCATCACCACCAACTTGAAATTAATTGGAGATTAAAAGACCCGTAGAAAAATTGTACATTTTTAACTCTACAAAATTAAAAGCCGATGCCATTACCCCCCATTTGAAAAGGCTTTTATTACCTTTTCAAGTAAGTGCAATTAGATGGCATTCTCTTTGCCACGAGTTTTCAAGGACAAAAATTTCAACCAAAAAAACATATTTACATGAATACAAACTCATTAGTGAAATAGCTTTGAGAAAAAGAGATTTGCCACGGTAAACTGAAATGAATATAAATCATTCTGAGTATCTATTTGAAAAGAAACTTGTTAATACAACAAATCGATTTCTGTTAGATTAAGAAGTTTTTATTAAGGTTCCGCAAAAGCAATATCTAAAAAAAATCTATGGTCGTTAAAATTATCGTCAAAGATAATCAATCCTGCGACACGTTTTGTTAACACTTATCTTTTGGATAGCCGACGATATCTGCTCTTCGAACGACAGGGTCCAGGTGGTATTTTGACGGAAGTAATGCGAATCATCAAATGAACGCCTAACTGCTAATAGAGGCATAGAGGCATTTTTAAGTGAAGCCTGGTCATGTGCTTGTAACCTTGATTGGCAGACCAGGACACCAAGGAAAGATCATCGTGTTAGGAGAGCTTTGATGTTGGTGGCCACGAATATGTCTTTAGTTAGCTTGTTCCAGGCCTTCCGCGGTCGATATTAGCGCGATAGTGGCGTGGGCTCTGCTGTTATTATAGCACTGTTTATGATTTCACTCCGTTCTTTTTTTTTTTTTATTTTTATTTTTATATATATACCTCATTTCCAGAAGATAAGTTGAGAGTCTACTTATTCCTTAGAGGTTAATCTGCAGTGGTGCATAATTCCGAGGATGTAGAAAGTCAGAGAGGCAGGAGCTAATGTGTTTAATAGGTGACAGTGTAGTGGATATTCATCAGGATTAGAGATACCGAGAAACTACGAGATTATGAAGAATTGATGCTACGAACGAATGAGGCAAAATTCGCTTTCGTACCGTGGTTCTCAACGTAAGCAGCACACATTCATGATGGCTGCACGATCTAATTGTCCAATAATTTTCTTGCCTTTCCCTCATATGAAAAAGTGACACTTTTTCATATGAGGGAAAATCTGAAGTAGTAGAGGGTAACTGAGGAAATACATCTTATTTGTGTTAAAAGTCGTCGATTTTATCTCTTTATCTGCAGTCCCCCGTATACAAATTTTTGCTCGGATATTGCTCATAAAAACTATAGTGAGCGATTTAGTATCGCAGAGGTCAGTGGTTCGTACAGGCCTGAATTTTTTCAGGTCTGATTTTCACTATTGCTTAAATAGTGTTCTTTACTGCGAGGATCGTTTCACCTTTACAGATAGGTTGATATTCAAGCTCCATTTATTGTAATGACATACTTTTTAATTCATAATATATACGCAGATTTCTATTGCAGTTTTTTTGAATTCATTGTAACATATGTAGTTTTATCTTATTATTATTATTAATATTATTATTATTATTATTATTATTATTATTATTATTCTCTAACCGCAGCTCAGATATATGAATTTCATATATTCGTAGTGTATGATTTATCATCTTACGGGTTTGTGTCGGACTAATTTGATGACCTGCTCCCAGTTGGCATGTTAACTCAATTGATAGAGCGCTGCACTAGTATCGCAGAGGTCAGTGGTTCGAATCCCGTACAGGCCTGAATTTATTCAGGTCGTATTTTCACTATTGGTTAAATAGTGCTCTTTACTGCGAGGATCGTGCACAAATACGTTTTGTAGATTGTAATTCAAAGTCACGATAGAATAGAAGTCTAGTTGCTTATAGGTTTCAAGATGTACTCCCAAGAGAAATATTTAAAAAAGAACTGTCAGCAAATTTGGTGATGTTAAGTGACTTCTAGCATCCTTTTAGACGGTCGGCTTCTCGTAACTCTTGACTAGATATTCACTAATTGCCTGTAGAGAAAATAATTCTGCTCACAGAACAGTTACTAATGAACCTTGTACATCTCTTTTAAGCTTTCCCTTACCGAAGCATTTCTCCAGACATAAATGGCGGGGTTGATAAGAGCTGTTAGAAACAGCGCACTCTCGGCCATCGGATAAACCACGTGTAACATGACGTCATCTCTTGTGCAAGCAAGTTGGTGCACTAAGGACACACACAGAGTTGGCGCGAAGCAAAGAAAAAACGCTCCTGTTATGATTATAATAGTCTTGGTAGCTTTAGCTTCAGCATTCTCTAAAGAACTCGGTCTGTTGGGGGTGTCACGGTTTCTGTTGGCTTGACTATGCGAATGGTCTTTGATTCTTGAAACCTTGTAGAGCTTGAAATAGACAAATGCTGTTTGTAGTAGTGTAAGTGTAATTAGAATGGAAGATGCAATTGAATAGGCTTTCAAGTTCATCCCAAAAGCTGAAAAACGTAGACCGAAGCTGAACGCAGACCAAAATAGCCAACCGCTGAAAATAACAAGCATTACGCGCGACTGCGTGACGGCGGCACGATAAATGAATGGCCGAAACACGGCAAAATATCTCTCTAAAGTTATGAGTGCAAGAGTGATTAAAGATAACCCAACACACCAAAACTCGAACACGGTCTTTATAAAGTAAGGAACACATAGATAGGTACTGTTGACATACTTCCCGATCTGATACGCAATAAAGGCGGGCTGAATAAATGTGGCAATTAGAAGATCCGTAACTGCCAGGCATAAAACTGAAGTATTAAAAGTTGTTCGTAAACTGCGTTTTCTTAAAACCACCATGAAGACCAGAAGATTCTCTGCAATCGCCACAGGACATGAAATTCCGTTTACAATACATGTTAGTAGAGTCACAGTCTGAGCTATAGCGTTTGGAGCGTAAGGTGTGCTTGTAACCTTGATTAGTAGACTTGGACACAGAGGGAAACTCGTCGCGTCTTGAACTGTGTTGTTCATTGAGAGAAGAAAATCTGCACTGAGTCGTCTGATTGTCCCGCGGAGTGAGAGATCCAAAGCAACCCAAATTCACTGAAACTAACGTCTCTCTTTAAGGATACCGAAAACAATCGACTTCCTTGTAACTTCAAGAGGACACTGAAGTGTTACGTTGAACGTACCTTGAATCTAAAAATCTATTCAGCTGAGTGAAAGAAAAACCGCAAATGAAACTCTGTTGTGTTCGTTCTACGAGGATTCTGTAAAAATGTGCGTTCGTCGCTCCGAGCATTCGAACTCTTAAAAGTTTAGACCGAGATCAGAACAGATCAGTCAAATATAACCAACATGAAAAACTCGTTTTTGAGAGTTCAGTCTGTGTGCGAAAACCTATCGTCACACTATCGCGGTCGGTGCTCACTAACTTTAAACTAACATTAGCGCTCCAAACGCATAAATCATATTCATGCATGATTTGACAGAATCAAAGTTTACTCTAGAGTTGACTTTACCGACTCCTTTCTGTCAACATTAAATTAGGGTAAGGCGATGTACTTTTATGTTCAACATGTAAAAAGTTGCATTTAACCGAAAACTGAAGTAAATCGCGTAATGTGATAGTTTCAATTAACAAAATTTACATTTTCGACGGGGACATTTTTGAGGACCTACGCATCACTGAGACCTGATATTACAGGAAGTTAAGCGACCATACAAGGGAAAAATTGACTTAAACATACCTTCCAGTTCAGGGAGGTTTGCGTAATTGCTTTTACTGATTTAATTATAGAACCGATCGTAACTGAGAGGATCTTGAATTCAGTACACTGAATAATGGAAGTTAAACGTGTCTTATCACAAACTATATAGAGGATGTTAGCTCTGTGAGCCTCTTACGTTTGACCCGTAAATTGATGTTTCCTTTCAAAGATTAATATAATCTTAAAAGTTTAATGTCTTTATCGTATCGGTGTAGAAGATAAAGCCTTTGAAGCGAAAGAAAAAAAATCATCGATAGCAGATGTAGAGATGTAGACCACGAACAGTCCCGGCGAAATCCGTCGCGCGAGTAAAAATAAAAATCAGTGAAAAAAAAATTGATTTTAGCGCGGAACTCTGAGATTGAGGCGCACGAAAAGGACTTTCAGTATGTTCCTCACTTCCAGACTTCGGCGGGGCGCGATTTCATCAAATTTTTTTTCTTCACTGATCACGGTTTGTTTACTCACACAACGGACTTCGCTGAAAAGCAGGAACTGCCAGCAATCTACAGCTGATGATCACTAGTCAGAGTAATATCAAGTGCAAGGAAATTTTGATTTTATGTGGCTTCCTGGGCCGACTCGTATTGTCACATTTTACAAAGTTGCAAAATTCTTTCCAAATATGGTTTTTAATCATCGTAATATCGTAAGATCTTAAGGTAATGCAACGTAAATACGACAAAACATATTCATAGAGGGATCAGATATAAAGCCGGCTGTCATAGCTATTGATAATGAAACAATATCGATAAAAACGCCGAAAATTGAGATGAACTGATGGGGCAACCACTTAAACTAAGCTAACTGAGAGGTTAATCGGCTCGTGTCTGACTTTGGAACTTGACAAATTATGGACTCCAGAGTCTACGCAGAACTGCAGTTTGAACGTTTGGCTAGGAAGTTACGGAAAATGTACGAGTAACTGCACCATATTATTATCTATTCTCCACCGATCACTCACTGCCACGATATCGCGGGAAGTTTGCGAATGAAATAGTGTCTTTGCCAAATTTATAGTAAATTCTTTGCGGCTGAAAATTAAAACCACAAAAATTCGATTAAACGTCCTATGTGTCCATAATATAACAGGAAAATGATCTTATCGCCGATTTGCAAAGAATATCATGTTGGATATCACAGGAACTACAACATTTCTGGAGATGCCAGAAGCAGAGAACCATAATGTATCAGTAATATCAAGGCTATGACGAAGGAGAATCTAGTAGAAAAAAAAAAAAAAAAAAAAAAAAAAAACACGAACTGCAGGAAATGCACAAGGCGAAGGAACTTCTCAGTAACTGTAATACTGAGACTGTTTTTGTAATGACTCTTGGAGTAAACAGGAACTTTGAAAATTTTGGACAGGAAATACAAGAGGTGTGAGATTATAGGGACTGCGTTTTTCATCGTTGCTCTTTATACGTAAATAACATTAGTTTTGGCTATGGGGCTCGAAAATCATTTAAATACTCCTAGGTCCCTAAAATGGTATGTTCTCAGTAATTCTAGAAACTGTACCACGCGAACTCCAAGACGTCTCATTGCAAAAGATTTTTGCTTTCTGGCGTTTTGCTACTATCTATACATTCTCGAGCACTTTGGTAGAAATTCAAATTTTTTCATACTTTCTTTCCAGCGAATGCTGAAACTGTTGTATTTTCGGTATATGACGAAACCTGCTTACTATGTTCATGTCAGGTCGCAGGTAACAAAAGAAGGCAAAATCTGCATATATGTTTTGTCGGAATGTAAGATTCTTGTTTTTTGTTGTTTTTCCTGTTTGGATACCGATCGTAAACGGATCCCAGATTTTCCTGTGTGGGTAAGGCGGGGGCGGGAAAAGAGAAATGGATGATGGAAGACGACTAGATGTGTCTTTGTTCTGAGATGAACGAACCGATAGAACTCCTCTGAAAGGCGAAAGCTATCTCATTGAAGATTTTAATTTTTCTGTTAGTATTGCTGAATGAGTTCCTTCACAGTCTGTGAATCATAAAAAAAGTAGAGCTGAATTCACCAACTGTCATTTTTAATCCTTGGTGACTTTCGATATCCTTAACCAACCTCGCTCCCTCTCACGGTTTACTTTTCCGTTATGGCTTTTCCTCAAAAACTGTTCCTTGTTTCAATCCACTCATGCTGTTGATGCCACAGCTGCACCAATCTACGTACCTACGTGTTGTGCAGCTGACAAGTCATAGTGCTATTGTTGTAGGTAGAAGTTTAAAAACGACCGCCTCGAGAGACTTGGCCACTCTCCATTTTTACGGCAGGAAGTTTAAAACAACTGACGGAAATTCATACCAGCATCTAAATACGCTCTCACTACTAAGATAGGACTGCGGAAAAGTGCAATTTTTAAAATCAAGGGAAGAGAAATGAGCGAAATAAATATATTTGTATGGTTCGAGATTGATATCTTTAAACTCTCCAGCAATATAAACTTCTAAGAACAATCCAAATTTCAGATTCTCATTACCTCCATGAAAGGTGTCGCACTCACACGGAATTCTTCGCACGTACTCAAAATACAACGTACTTTCCTGCTTTCAGGATCACTTTTCCTAATGACGGTTTCTCATTTCGGTTTCCATGTTTGAGATGGATATATTGTTGCTGTCAAATTGCTCTAAGCTCTGAGCAACGCCGCTCTCTATTGCTTTAAACTTAAAAAACAATGCGCTCCCCGGGGGGATAATTATAAATACTGTGAAGGTATTAATACGATTAAGTGAAGATAATTTTCCTTTCGATTTCCGCTCGTTCGCATTTCCTCACTCTACAAGGAGGCAGTGTTTAGCTCAATTAATTACCATCAGTCGGCTTTTAGAGGCAGGGGCGCTATAAATCGGCAAGCCATTATATAGCCATGCATGCGAATTAATTCGTTATCAGGTCAACAGATCTACACGGTCAATATGCGGGGAAGATTAAGTACTGATTGAAATACTGGGCCTATAATCGCCGAGGCGATGACATCAATTGTTCCAAAAACCAATCACATCGCTTCAACTATCTATCTATTTACACGCTGGTAAAGTTCGGAAACAAGCGGTCAGTTGTTGTGTTCTAACATAAACTTCACTGCTGAACTGATGTCGTGTTTTGATGCTCTAAGTTTAAACCTTATTCCGTCTGGAGGCTGGGGAAACAGCTAAGGACATGAGAGAAGCTCATGATATTCAAACGGAGCAATTCGTCTGAAAGGCTCTCATTCCGGAGCAAGCACCTTTTTGTTTTCGTTTTGGCATCGTCAGCATTTTTAACATATATTCTTTACAGGAACGCTCACTGGAATAGCCACACAGTAAAGTTCACTCCCTTGGATGGCTTGAAAAATAGGAACAACCACTCGATCTCAACGCGTGAGAGGTCAGGGGCAACGAAACGACCACTTCGACAATCGAATCATTTCGAACACGTGGTATTAGGAGTGTCGTCGGATTTCAAAACAAAATTAAATCCGACCAGTACTTCAGATGAATTGAGAAAAATTCCATCTAAGCTCTTGCAAGAAAGAATCAAGCATCGAACTCCGGAAGACTCTGGATCCCGCGGTCAGCTTAACTCTCGCAACAAGTACTCTAGCAACGTAAACGGTGTTGACAAGAGCTTGAATTATTCCTCAACTCAGGGCGATCGGAAACATTTGTTGAATTTTAGGAGTCAAAGTGAAGATAAAGAAGATAGCGGCGTTTCTGAGTTTCAGCTTGAAGATGGAGAATTTAAGAAACGACTGCCGAATGCTATCATAATAGGGGTGAAGAAGGGAGGAACACGCGCGCTGCTTGAAATCTTAAAGATTCATCCGAGTATCAGAGCATGTAGCAATGAGGTGCATTTCTTTGATCGCGATGAAAATTACGAACAAGGACTCAACTGGTATCGAGAACAAATGCCCGAGTCAGTGCTCGGGCAAGTTACAATTGAAAAATCTCCAAGTTACTTTATAACTTCGAAGGTACCTGAGAGAGTGTATCGAATGTCTAAAACTGTTAAACTCATTGTGATTGTTCGCGACCCCACAACACGAGCGATATCGGATTATACCCAGGGTGTAGAGCGAAAACCCGATAACCCACGCTTTGAAGAAGTGGTTTTTAACGACGCAGGCGAGGTGGACGAAAATTGGAGCAAAATCTCCATTGGCCGTTATGCCGAGCACTTAGCGAAGTGGATGGAATATTTCCCCTTGAAGCAACTGCATTTTGTTAGCGGAGAGGAACTTGTCAAAAGACCCGCGAAAGAATTGAAACTCGTCGAACGATTTCTCGATATAAAACCCTTCATCAGGGAGGATAATTTTTACTTCAACGAAAGTAAAGGATTTCCATGTTTTGTCGGTAAAATTTCAAACACTGGGACCGTGAACAAAGCGCATTGCATGGGCGAATCGAAAGGAAGAAAACATCCCGCTGTAAAAGAAGACGTTTTGCAAAAGTTGCGGGAATATTTTGATCCATTTAATAAAAAGTTGTATTCAATGGTGCATCGAAACTTTCGCTGGTAAGCGACTACAACAGAGAATTTCAAAATCTGCATAGGCCTATTGATGTTGAATATTGTTTGCTTTGCGACTGATTCAATCATTCCATCTACACCAAACACAAACATTTTAGATGGATTAGACACGAGAATCCATACTTTAAATTATGAGACTAAACAATTAATCATCGCACGGAGTTACGACAGAAACAAAACAATTTTCCATTCGAAAACTACGTACGCGTGCTGTTCTTAATCGAACTTGGCTAGCTGGCGTATTTATTTATTCATCTAATTAATATTTATTCTCTCGGGAGGTCTACGATGAAGCCTAATTGTGGGCTACAGTCGTCAAAATATTTTGCAAATATGACATTCAAGTAAGTGGGCAGATGTCTAGGAAAGATTTCCGTATAACCCCGTACCATTCAGAAACAAAGCCGTAATCCCAAAGGTAATCTGTTGTTTTGCCTCAGCTTTCTTGTATCCAAGAATTGTATGCATAATGAAGTTTGGGTTTATACGGAAATCTTGCCAAATACTTTTGGTTTAGTCCTATTTTGAAGTTTATCTTTAACCGGAAGTTGTGTAAAATTGTTTAAGATAGCACTGTCCTCGCTGGACATAAGACATCACATCTGTTGTTTGAAATAATTCAAAACTGTTGTCATTATTTCTTTTAAGTCCAACTGAATTTTTCCAAGGATAAAGCAGTTACAGGCTCTGAGATATACCCACAGATTGCCCAATTCTAAGACATTTGATTAAATTTAATGGTAAATTTGTAGCACATATTACTAAATCTACACAGGGGAGTAAAGTCCCTTGTTGTCATTGATCCTCTCGCAAACAATTTTACTTTTAGAATTTAGCATATCCACTCAGGTACAATTATCAGCTATGTGCCTTGCAATTTAGCAGCGGAATTTCAACAGTTAAGAAATCAGAAAAATGTTTACTATGCTGGGCCTTGTCCTTCTTCCAAAGAAGTGGCCAGTATCAGAGATAACAGATATTGTACATCGACAAATATATTTGACAAAATTTAAATATGGTGTGTATTATTTTTTTTTTTTCAAGAATGTAAAAATGTACTTATTCATTTGTATTGTGTCTGCTTCTTTGTTATTCTTAATCATTTCTTATCAGTGTTATTCTTAAAGGAAATTACCCCATAGCTTAGCAGATCATGAGTGAAACTCCCAGAACTACAAATCCCACGATTTGAATTGACAACTTTTTGAAAAAATATTTCACTTTAAATGTCAGTCTTTTTTATTTTTTTGATCCACAAAATGTAGAAGAAGTGACTTGGAATAACATTTGACGATAAAAACTTGCGACAAAACGTTGCTTGATAACATTGTAAAATCTAAAAACGATAAAAAGCGATAGAAAGCCAAAATCGATGACGTTTCGACGTTAACATAATGTCATTATCAAGTCAAGAATGTATAAAAATAAGTTCTATAAATACTAAAAATGAACAATAAGAGAAAATAATTTGCAGGTTAGACAAAAAGTGAATGTGAAACGGACAAACGGACTCCATACGTGCTAAACTTTTTGTTTAACCTGCAAATTATTTTCTCTTACTGTTCGTTTTTAGTATTTATAGAACTTATTTTTATACATTCTTGACTTGATAATGACGTTATGTTAACGTCGAAACGTCGTCGATTTTGGCTTTCTATAGCTTTTTATCATTTCTAAATTTTACAATGTTATCAAGCAACGTTTTGTTGCAAGTTTTGATTGTCAAATGTTGATCCACAAAACGGAAAGTATATTTATAGTATAAAAAAAGCTGAAACTGAAAGGGTTTTGTTCAAACAATTTCCTAATTTGTTTATGCTTTGTCATAGTTTATTTCATTATATTTCCACATTTCTTGTGTTCTAAGAAGTCATCTTTCACTTTCTTGTTTGAAAATAAAATTAAGAATAATGAATATATGAAATTCATATATCTGAACTGCAGTAATAGAAACGTATTTGTACACAATCCTCGCAGTAAAGAGCAATATTTAAGCAATAATGAAAATCAGACCTGAATAAATTCAGGCCTGTGCAGGGTTCGAACCACTGACCTCTGCGATACTAGTGCAGCGCTCTACTAATTGAGCTAACAAGCCAACTGGGAGCAGGTTATCAAATTAGTCTGACATAAACCCGTAAGATGCACAGATACGTTTCAATAACCATAGTTCAGAGATATGGATTTCATATATTCGTTGTTTGCTTTATCATTTTACAGGTTTATGTCGGACTAATTTGATGACCTGAGTAACTTGCTTTATTCTTCGACTTATGGGAGTTGAAGTGTTTATTTAAAGACAAGTTAGCCCAGAAATTTCAAATAGTAGGCAATATTTTGCAATCAACAAGCTCAAAAGCTGTTTCATTATACAAACACCAATAAGATACCAGGTGAGCTTTCTTGATATCATCACACGTGAAAATAATATTGTTATGCAATGATATAGTTTCATATTAAATTGTGTCTTTTGTGGTGAAAGGAAATGGTCTGGTTTTTCATCGGTGTTCATATGATAGAGTATTGTATGGCGCTTGGAGATACAAAATTTCTCTTCTCGTGTCGAAGAATAATTCACTTGTTTGCTCCTCTCTCTTGTGAAATATTTTTCAACACCTGAAGGGAAACTTTGTATCTCTGTGTGGCGATAAAATATCCTCTTTATTTCTTACTCAGTAATTAAGTTTGTTTCCATGATCATTTTCAGTAATTCTTCTCAGTCAGGTTGACTCAGTGGTCTATCCAGGACCATCTCTGAAAAACAAATGTTATGCAGTAATAAGGCAAATTAATACAGAGTTTGCTTTGAGCCACAGTTCTGGTGAGGGGTGGAAAGATTCAAATGAATGAGTAATTATATTTACAAAGATGTTCCAGGAACCTGCTCTTTTCGCAGGAAAACTACCTAAAAAATAAACCAGTTTTAAAAAATGCCACCTTAGGAGTCACTTATTCAGGTTAACCCTTGAACTCTCAGAAGTGATAAACATGTAACTTCTCCTTACAATATCCATACATTATCCAGCAAATGGGTGATGAGATTATGCAAACTTATCAAGTGGAAGGTTATCTTGATCTCACACCAAATTCTCATGACTAATTTACAAGGAAATGTGTAGCAGTCAGAAGGGAGAATTAGTAATTAGAACCTGGGAATTAAAGGATTAATAGACTTCTGTGAATGATTAATAATGGCAATAGGATTTACTGGAGTCCAATTTGTTTTGTAATCATACAAGTGATCAACAGATGGCTGCAAAGTGGGAGTCTGATTTGTCAATTACGAGTGTGATTACAGACTGAACTGGACAACCCAAAGACCTGTCACCAATTAATCATAACCATTACAATGCTAAAACAAGACAAATACATTTAGAAAATATATCTCCGAAGTCTAAAGTAAATAATTCCACTATTTTGGAAATTCCCCGGTTTTTTTCAGAATAAGTGGTTGTTGCTATGGTTATTTTGATAAATTCCGTGATTGATGGATTTAGATGAGTGGACTTAATATGAGAGGCTGCTTCAACTGTCCATGTCTGATTAAAAGCGACCAATTACAGCCAACTGTCCGATTACACTGTCCGATTACAAATATAATGAATGAAGTGAAAAGATAAAACAGCTAGTGCACCAATCACATTTCAGGAAATTGTTATGGTGATGAGTAAAACGCAAAATCACTTGATAAACACATTACATTCTCTACAGGGAAAGTGCATCGATAACGATAAATGAGGAACATTTTCCGAATATAAAACTCGCTTTTCCTACTATCAAATACCTCAAATGACGTGAAATAGTAAATTACAGAGAAGAATCACCGTAGTTTAATCTCTTTTTTTTTTGATGAGTCGGGAACATAACATTTGAGTTGAAATCTTCGCGCCCTGCGTACTCCTTCCCAGGGCCCCATACTACACGTCATTGTGCACGTGTTCCACTGTGCGCTCGCGGCCATGATCGGGAATATGGCGGAGGATAAAGAATTTGATGAAAAGACGGGCAGTGGCGATTCAGAAGAAGAAGAAGAAGACGACGAAGAGGTTGAAGCTAACGGGAAAGATGACTTCGACGAAGATGATGCGGAGTTTGACGATCCAGAAGGCTTCATGGACGAGATAACAGATGAAGGTAACTTCGTAAGTTTCACCACGTTTGGGCTTCGAAAGGATTTCAGTTCACAACTTCACGGATAGTCAGTTACCAACCTAGGTTTTGGAATTTTTAAACCCAAAATAATTTCGGATTGACGACAGTTTGAGATCACCCCCAAGACTTCTGTTTTCACCACTTAGTAACCCTCGTGGTAAAAATTAATTTCTACAATAGGCCGGCATGTACTTCTCCCCAATTGAAATGTAAGCTCCGGTAATGAAATTCTGCCGGTACCATACCATATTCAGGGATTCCCTCTCCCTTGTATTTGTTCTTGAACCATAAATGTGTTTTTTTCAGTGTGATAAATGTCCCCTTACGCGAATAGATTCTCCAGCTACTGTTCACTTTGGCGAAGGAGTGCATGCAATATTCAGGGTTTTAAACGTTACTCGAAGATAGCAACAGACTAAAAAATAGCTCTTGTCTAAGTGGTTTCTCCTTGACGGCAAAATTTGTTCGTTGAAATTCAACAAATTTTTCTGTTTCTATTGTTGATCCTTTTATGGGTGGGTGCTGCAAATAAGTTTCACGGTACCAATCTATAACACACCGTCCAATACCATAGCTCCAAGTAACTTATTACGGGGATTTTTCATGTTTTACAATGGAGAACCACATTTTGGATTTCATCGCAAAAATGTGAAAGTATCTTTTTTTTTTGGTTTGTTTTTTCTTTTAACCTGTAAAACTGTTAGTCTATAAGGATTTCACTAGATCCAAGGGATTGATTTCACCAACTGGTTTTGTATTTTATTCCTTTGTTCTCTTTTTGTTTTCATAGTAATAACTGTGAGGCAAAGCAAACTAAAAAGTTAAAACATTAAATAAACTCAGAACACAGAGTAACCCATCAACTGCGGTAAATCCGGAAAAAAAAGAAAGGAGGATTTGCATGTTATTTTGGGGTTGAATTATGTTCAGTCTTGCTTCAATAAGAACCAGATGTAACTACTTAGAAGCAAGGAGAATTGCTGTCTATAAATGTTTTTAGGGTGACTTTTTTTTTGTTGTCCTCTCAGGTTGGCCTTAAATAAGTTTACAGATTTGAATCTAAGTTGTGTACATTGTGATCAACCACAGACCCTATAATGAATAGATGTGCAAAATACATTTGTGTCTGGGAATTGAATTCTAAGAAATGCATAATAATACTAGGATTCTTTTGAAAACAATTTTATGAAGAACAGATCCCAGTTCACAGCATTTAACTTGAAATTTTTTTTCTCAAATATAGAACTCCTAGCAGATATCTTAGCTGAGAAACCTAAAGAAGTCCAAGGGACTGATTGCATCATTGTTGTGGATAATGTTCCCACCATTCCGCCAGACAGACTAGAGAAGTTAAAGAATGTGATCCGTAAAGTATTCTCAAAGTTTGGAAAGATCATTACAGAGCATTATCCACTGGATGAAAAAGGAATAACTAAAGGGTAAGAGTGTTTCAGCCCTTAAGCTCCCAGAACGGATAAACATGTAGATTCTCCCTGTAATATCCATACATTATCCAGCAAACAGCTAATGAGAATACTCGAACTTAATACAGGGCATCTGACAGGATGCGGTGGTGTGGATCCACATCATTAGCTTACTTCCGTATCCTCTGCATCCTTGGGGCATTTTTCTGTATAAAACTAGAAATTTCTACGTATAAGCGAGAAAGCAACTGCTTACCACCCTCAGAAGCAAAAATAGCGAAAAGATTGATCATTTTGAAGAAGTTATTCACCCAAAACAGCGACGAAAACACGCCTTTTGATCGTAAACAATTGTAAACCGCCAGGCGTTCCATGCATCTTCTAGTGATCGGCCTGGGTTCTACTTTTGTTTTAACATTTTGGGACTTCCGGTGTCCAGTTTTCCTCTTTCAATTTAATGGCTGGTTACTAAGCTTTGGACAAACTCAACAACAAAAACTAAGAAAAAACTGTGTTGAACGAAGACATACCTGTCCATGAATGGCAGCAAAAGATTAAACATGTCATTCTCGGTAAGACGTTAATGTGTATTTTATACGTTGGTAAAAGCCAAGGGAACAACTTTATTGTAAGTGTTAGAAATTTCTGCATTATCTGGCATCTTTTCCACATAATCGTCACATTCTTCTGCATGATATTGCTGAAAACTTCCGCGTAATTTTCCATTTTTTTCCGCACCCTATCAGATGGCCTGTTAATAGGTATATCTTGATCTAACACCAAAATCTCGTCACTAATTTACAAGGAAATGCAAGTTATAGGGTTAAAAGTAATTCTCGAGTGATCATTCGAAGAATGTAGCTATTTTGTCTAATTATTCTTAATACTCTGCTATTTTCAGGTATATTTTCTTAGAATTCTCCAATGCCAAAGATGCAGCACAAGCTGTGAAGACAGCTAATGGTTACAAGCTAGACAAACATCACATATTTGCTGTTAATCATTTTGAGGACTTTGACAAGTAAGTCTGTCGCACAGGAGGACATGTTTTTGGGATGCATTGTGTGTTAAGGTTTTACTGAAAGTTGTTATGAGTAAGAGTAACAGGAAATTAATTCATTTATTTCTAGATTGGCAAATTTGACAAAGGACTGGCAAGCCCCTACAAAACAATCTTATGTCCAACAGGTGAGTGAAAATTAGATTAGGGGTATAGACTGAAGTGAAAAATTTGATGGTAAATTAACACTCACATAACTTTTGGCTATGCCTTGTGGGGTACAAAGAGTTTTGAGCTCATTCTGGCAGCCTTAAGTTGTGTCAATTTGGACCAGGTTTCTCAACTAAAACTGAGTGTTTTACAATGACTCAACAGTTATTTCTTAATTTTGTTTCTTAATTGTGGCAAATGATGAAGTTCTCCTTATGCCAGTTCTGCTACTGATATGAAGTGCTGAGAACTGGGAGAGAATCAAACTGATGCTTTCTCATTCATATTATTTTCCAATCTTTTAACCTTAAGGGTATATTTTTTTAGCCTCACCAGTATGTGACTAAGGTCTCGAGTGAGAACAATGAGCTACAGGCGTTATCATGCTTCTTCATTTTGGTATTAAGTGGGAGATGTTCAAAAATATACCCACACACTTCTTGCAAAGAGTAGTCACAGAGCTCCTGCTGTGTTAATTTTCATCCTACCTGCTATATCCAATTCACAGTTATTTTAACCTGTTAAACAAGTTTACCCTTTCACCCCCTAAAGTAAGTGGTATCTAATTTCTCCTTGCCATATCACCCCTGAATCAAATGTTACAGTCATGAGAATAAAGGAAATGATCACCACCTAAAAAAAGCTCTTGATTATTCAACAAATTCTCCTTGTCAGGCCTTAGGAAATGTATAGAGAACAGTATGGAGAATATGCATACTAATGTGAGGGTGGAAAGGGTTAGCAGAACAAGTAAACAAGAAACAGCAATAATAAAGGTTCATTCTTACCTTCTTATTTTCAGGAGAATTTGAGATCTTGGCTTTTGGACCAGGATTGTAATGATCAATACTCTTTGATTCATGGAGGAGGAGATAAAGTTGCAATCATGTGGAATACCCAACAGGAACCAATTCTATCAAAAGAGAGACAGGTAAGCCAGCATGAGGGTGAAAAATAGTCAGTGTACAAGCCTTTGGTCTATCCTGCTGTAGCTTATCCCAGTTCTGAAGCATGAAGCTACCAGGATTATTGATTAAATGTACCCTCTTTACATTTTCCAGGCTTCAATGAAAATTCACCTCTAATCACACATACCCCTGGATAAAGAGATGTGCTGTGGTGTGAATTATTGTGTCTAAGGATACCCTAGGGAATCACGTTGTCTTGTTATGTATCTGTTGATAAAGAAAAAAACTTCACATGGTTAGACTATCATCAAAGAGCCTGAAAGAACTCACCAAAATTTGTCAACTGGGGTAGAAAAATAACTTAGACACTGAAATAAACCAGCAGTGAATATAGTGGTTTAGTGGGAAAAAGATGGTGTCAGACTGCTGATGGAAAATTCACAGCTAAAATTCCAAATTATTTAGATTTTTTGTCTAGAAATTAGGTAATGTTTTTTATCTAAATATGGTTTATTTTCAATTCTCTTGCATTTTTCTGCAGAACTGGACTGAAACATATGTGCGTTGGTCACCCAAAGGCACGTATTTGGCAACTCTGCATAACCAGGGTATTGCTCTCTGGGGTGGAGAAGAATTCAAAAGGCTTATGAGGTTCAGTCACCCAGGAGTCCAGCTTGTAGATTTCTCTCCCTGTGAAAGGTGCATATTGCTTGTGTACCAATTTTATCTTATCATTGTTATTTTTAGTTACCGTAGTTATTCGACTATAAGCCGAGCGATTTTTTCACAAAACTTTACCAAAATCTCGAAAATTTTTAGCG